TGTACAAGAGAGCAAATTGAAAAGCCACTCCATGGAAAATGCCTTTTCTCCTTCTGTCATGTCGCCACTATTCTCTTCGATCGACTCAACAGTAATTATTAACTACATAGGTACATCAAACATTTTTTATCTCACAACAAACCGTTATAATTATCAGCCCTAGTCTCAACTTAAGATAATCAGCCTGTCAAGGCACATTGCAGTGGTTTATATACGTTAGCAATCCTTTTCTTAATTATGAAACTAATCTCCATATTCGAATTCGATAATTAAAACTTTCTGGTTTTGGCCTCTGCTGAGCTCATAATATAATTATTTATGTTCCAATTCTTTCTAAAGTAGTAGTGCCAGTAAGTCACAATTTTTGTTTGATCAACAGGACCTAATAGAGCATGTTACTTGCCTTCTGTGTATTATTTTAGAGGCTTTACCTCTGTAGCTTTTTGAAGGCGTAGAATATTATTCCATGTCATACTCTAGTTCATTGGTTGACCAAGCGGCTTGAAAATCCTGAACAGGAAGCCTCTGTAAATCACTTGTACTTTGCAATTACGGGGCAGTGTCCGGATGTTTTCTTATCAGCCGCGAACAGCTTCGTACTTCATACGATTCTCAGCATGCTATAAACACATCGGTTAGATGTTAATCACACCGTCGATCCTCAGAGCAAAAAAAAAATAATAAACTAGAAAAACGTTGATAGACCTTTATCACTTTCGCCATTTTCCCATAATCTACCTGGGAAATACTTCGGCAGTTCTAAATATATATATAGATAGATAAATAGACACTTTTATTTAAAAGTAAAAATCTACAGGTAAATTTTCAGGGTAGTCTTTTCAGGGAGCTTACAAAGCATCTCCGCTATCAATAGGAGCCCTGAAGTTATTACCTAGAGCTACCTAACATAGAATACGCAATAATAGGATATATACAAAAATAAAAACATAAATATAGGAAAGTATATTGCAACAAATATCAAAAGCCTGTAATCTTTAAATTTATGTAAATTCGAGAATACATCAAACATGTTCTGTAAGAATACATCCAAGCTAACCAGGTAAAACTTGCCCTGAGTCCGAAATGGAAAATTCAAACTCGTTCTATTCAGTATTCTCTTTGAAACGAATACCTAATTTCAAAGGCTTGTAAGTGAATTTGCCCACGTGGTGTTTATTGTAAACAGTAACGAAAAGATATTTCCCCTCAAGAGTCGCTAAGCAAAAACAGGACAAAAAGACAAGTGGAAAGCTTTAAGCCCAAAAAACATTGCGTGGCTCCTGTGTGCAGACGCTTTTCGCTTCTTGCCCGAAAGATGTTCTGATTGAAGAGAAAAAAGTTTATTATGGTTAGTCATTTTGTTGGCGGGCAAAGGTCGTGAAACCTAACATTTGCCTTTCCTAAGTGTAACAGAGTAGATAGATTCATATTCCACAATTTGTTCCTCCCTGGGCCTCCCAGACCCGCCATTATTATTATTATTATTATTATTATTATTATTATTATTATT